CTTTATACTAGATTTTTAAGTGATTTACTCATCACCATTACATTATTCTAAATTTAACTATATTTATCAGAGATTATATTTTCATATGTTTTTCTGTTACTAATTAGCATCTTTCTTTTCAGCTTGAAGAAGTCCCTTTAACATTTCTTGTAAGGCCAGTTGAGTGGTGATGAACTCCTTTAGCTATTGCTGTCTGGAAAATCTCTCCTTTGATTCAGAAGGACAGAACAATTCAGAACGTTGCTAGGTGGAGTATTCTTGGTTGGCAAGTTTTGTTTTTTGGGGGTTTTTTTGTTTGTTTATTTCTTAGCAATTTGATTATATCATTACATTCCGTTTTGGCCTGCCATGTTTATACATGGTTTATACATGATAGTATATTTAGAAAACCCTAAAGATGCCACCAAAAAAACCTATTAGAACTACTAAATGAATTCAATAATATTTCAGGATACAAAATTAATATATAGAAATCTGTTGCATAGGTTTCTTTTTTTAATTAATTACTGATGAAAGATATTGAAGATGATACAAGCAAATGGAATTATATACCATGCTCGTAGATTGGAAAAGTTAGTATTGTCAAAGTAACCATACCACCCAGAGCAATCTACAGATTCAATGCAATCCCTATCAAATACCAATGGCATTTTTCACAGAATTAGACCAATAATTTAAAACTCTGTATGGAAACACAAAAGACCTCACATAGCCAAAATAATCTTGAGAAAGAACAAGGCTGGAGGAAGTCTTATGCTCCCTGATTTCAAACTATACTACGAAGCTACAGTGATGAAAAGTTTTATGGTACTGGAACAAAATAGCCCGGAAATGAGCTCATATTTCTATTATCAATTAATTTATAACAAAGGAGGGAAGAATATACAATGGGGAAAAGATAGCCTCTTCAATAAATGGTGTTGGGAAAACTGGACAGCTATATGCAAAAGAATCAAACTGGGCTACTTTCTCCCACCATATACCAAAATCAACTCAAAATGGATTCAAAACTTAATAACACTTGAAACCATAAAAACCCCAGAAGAAAACACACGTAGTATGCTCTTTAACATTAGTCTTTCCAGTATCTTTTGGTGGAGATATGTATCCTCAGGCAAGAGAAACAAAAGTAAACAAACAACTGGGACTACGTCAAACTGAAAAGCTTTGGCACAGCAAAGGAAACTGTAAACAAAATGAAAAAGTTCTACTGAATTGGGAGAAGATATATCTGATAAGGGATTAATATCTAAAATATACAAAGAACTCTTAAAACCCAACTTCAAAAAAACAAACCAATTGAAATAGGGGTAGAGGACCTCAAAAAGACATTTTTCCAAAAAAGACATACAGATGCCCAACAGACATATGGAAAGATGCTCAACATCACTAATCATCAGAGAAATGCAATCAAAACCACAATATCACCTCACATCTGTGTCAGAAGGCTGTCATCAAGACAAGTAACTAGTGTTGGTGAGCATGTGGAGGAAGGGAACCCCCTTGCACTCTTGGTGGGAATGTAAATTGGTACAACCACCATGGAAAACAGCATGGAGTTTCCTCAAAAAATTAAAAATGGAACTACCATACAATCCAGTAATTCCACGTCTGGGTATTTTTCCAACAAGAACACTAATTCAGTTAGATATATGCACCCTTGTGTTCCTTGCAGCATTATTTACAATAGCCAAGATATGGAAGCAACCTGTGTCTATGGTGTGTGTGTGTGTGTGTATGTACATATATATATAATTCAGTCATAAAAAAGAATGAAATCTTGCCATTTGTGACAACATGGATGGACCTGGAGGGTATTTTGCTACATGAAATAAGTCAGAGAGAGAAAGAAAAATACCGTATGGTTTCACTTATATGTGGAACCTAAAAAACAAATGAACATACATTATTAAACAGATTCCTAGATGCAGAGAACAAACAGGTCATTCTTACAGTGCAGGGGGCTGGGGGATGAGTGAAATAAGTGAGGGAGATTAAGAAGTACAAACTTCCAGTTGCAAAATAGGGTCATGGGGATGAAATGGACAGCATTGGGAATATAATCAATAATATTGTAATATCTTTGTATGATGACAGATGGTAACTAGACTTATCGTGCTTATCATTTTGTAATATACAGAAATATCAAATCACTATGTTGTGCACCTATGAAAAAATAAAAATTTTAAAATGTTTTTTGGTATTCTACTTTACTGCCTCTATTGGCTTTACAGCCACACCTTATAAAATTCTCTAGTTGCTGTAAGGAATACATTTATTGCAGTTTACCTTAAATAACATACCACTTCCAGTGTAACATATACATCTTATAAATGTGTACTTCCATTCATCCCATTACTTATAATTATCACGTATTTTACTTCTACATGTCCTTAGTTCTTAACTTCTGCTTTAAATTTTCTTCTGGTTAAACACTGTCATTTTCATTTTAATAGTCAATTAGATTTTAAATAATTTAAGGAATTAGAAAAATAATTTAAAATTTTCATTTCTGGAATTTCTTTCCTTCATGTAGATATATGTTTCACCAGATATCACTACCTTCAATGTAAAGAACCTCCTTTAAGATTTCTTGTAGTGCATATCTCCTGGTATCACATTTTTTCAGTTTTCATTATAGGATATTTTCACTGGATATAGAATTTTAGTTTGACACCCTTTTTTAAACTTCAGCACTTTAAAGACATTGTTCCACTGTCTTCTTGATTACATTTTTCTGGTAAGTTGTTCATTCTTATTGTTCACTGCTATGTCTCAAACTCTGACTGCTTTTTAAAATTTCTCATCTTTTTCAGCAATTAATCAGTTTCCTTTTATTTATCCTGTTTACATCTTGAGTTTCTTGGATCTGTGAGTTTTTATTTTTTAAATCAAATTTGTAAATTTTTTAATCTTTATTTTTCCATATATATTTTTCTGCTCCCGTCACTCTTCCTCTCCTGGATCCAACTATACAGGTTAGACCATTTGTTATTTATCTCATATGTCAGGTTTTTTTTTCTTTTTTTAAATAGTTTTGCTATGCTTTAGTTTGAGTAGTTCCAATTAACCTATCAAGTTCATTGATCTTTTTTTCTACAGTGTCTTGTATATTTTTATGCCCATGTAGTGAATTTTTCATTTAAGAATGTATTTTTCAGCTGTAGAATATATGGGTTTGTCTGTTTTTGTTGTTCTGAAACTCACCACCTATTCACTCAATGTAAACCTTTTTCTTTAATATTTTAAACATTTATATAGTAGCTTTTAAAGTGCTGTCTGCTATTTGTAACATCTGTGTCAACTCTGGATCTTTTTTTTTCGTTACGTGGGCCTCTCACTGTCACGGCCTCTCCCGCTGGTGCTCCGGACGCGCAGGCCCAGCGGCCATGGCTCACGGGCCCAGCCGCTCCACGACATGTGGGATCCTCCCGGACCGGGGCACGAACCTGCGTCCCGTGCATCGGCAGGCGGACTCTCAACCACTGCGCTACCAGGGAAGCCCTCTGGATCTACTTTGATGGCTTTTTTCTCTGGTTATGTCACACTTTCTTGTCTTCACACCTAATAATTTTTTATTGCATATTGTATATTGTGGATGCTGTGATGTTGCTAAGGATCTGGATTTTGCTGTCTTCCTTTAGAGAGTGTCCAGTTCTGTGGTGGCAGGCAGTTAATTTACTGGCAAATACGTGTGATTCTGTTGAGGACTGGTTTTAGAGTAATGTGGATTTATAGTAACTGTATTCCCAAGGGTTGGCCTGTTTGGGGTCTCAACTGAATGCCTGGCTTTTTTTTTCTTTCTTTCACTTTAAAAAAAGATAAAGTTGAACAAAGTTCACATACTCAGACTGCTTAAAACACAGAGCCGTGACTAAATCTTATTTTTATTGTATTATTTTCAAAACCCCAAAGAGGTTCTGCTTTTTAATCATTCTTTCAAGAGCTAGACTTTTGAGGGATGAAAGAGATGCCCACATCATGGTATGACTAGTAAAAATATTTAGTGCTTTCCTCCCTCCCTGAATAGGTAGTTGATACTGATGAATAATGAAAGATTTGGAATTATGGGACAGAAATTGATCAACTTAAGAGTACAAGAGTATATTACATCAGAGGATAAGCTTTAATGTTACATGCAACATAGGACAGCTAGGTCTGAGAGAGAATTGAGAAATGTGAGGTTACTAAAAATGAAATTATTCACCAGGTTTATTTAGGGCCTTTAGGGCCCTTCTGAAGTTTTATTTTCCTTGAAGTCTTTTTGTGTGTGTATGTGAATACTCTCATCGCAAAAATGCTATTGGTTGGGTAAAAGCAAACTTTTGAGACACAAGGGGATGTCAACAGTTTTTATCCTTCCCTAGAAACCATCTTTATAACAATGTCATTTTCAATTTAGAATCGACATTAAGAAAAACATCCAATCCAACTCATTCAGAACTCAAAAGAACAAACAAGAAAGTGCTCAATCAAGTGCATGAAAGGATGTTATACCATATCAATAGGTGTGAAACTAATCTGAAAAAGTTACCATTATAAAAACTGGGTAAGTCATTTCTAAAACCAAGTTAATCATACATGACAGTTATCAAGAGTGTAAGAATTCATCTGAAACAGCTAGTTGTAGATGTCTATTCCAAACAATTCTATTTTAAGGTGAATTATTATTCTGTAAGCACATAACATTGCAATAACATGAACAGAAAAATACTTTTAGTCCATTTTTTAATACTAAAAAAAAAAAAAAAAGAGGGACTTCCCTGGTGGCACAGTTGTTAAGAACCCACCTGCCAATACTGGGGACATGGGTTTGATTCCTGGTCTAGGAAGATCCCACATGCCACAGAGCAACTAATCCTGTGCGCCACAACTACTGAGCCTGCGCTCTAGAGCCCGCGAGCCGCAACTACTAAAGCCCACGCACCTAGAGCCTGTGCTCCGCAACAAGAAGCCACAGCAATGAGAAGCCCACGCACTGCAATGAAGAGTAGCCCCCACTCACTGCAATTAGAGAAAGCCCGTGTGCAGCAACGAAGACCCAATGCAGCCATAAATAAATAAATAAATAAATAAATAGAAATAGACTTTGAATAAACACATTCCAGGTGAAATAAATTTTACCAAAAAAAAAAAAGTAACAGAAGAAGACTTCAGAAATTCAATTTGCCATGGAGAACTTCACAAGTAACACTTATCTTGTCTAATACTAAATTTCTGGGGATCTGCATGAAAACACAAGACATTAAGCACACCTAAATATAAATCAAGATAGAACATAATTCAATAAATAACCAAAGGATTAAATGCTATGTCATCTCCAATGAACAAATTTCAAAGTAATCATCTTGAGAATAGAAAAGACAGGTTTTAACTTTTTCAATTTTAATGTTTAATAATTCTGGTAATACTCAAAAAGTATTGCAATATTGTAAGTACTTATGCCCAAATATCTTAAGTTTCAGTGACAGAACTTAACTCAGTGTTCACAAAGGAATAAATTGTTCCATTCAAAATTTATTGAACTGCAAATTAAGTATTATGCTAGTTAACTAGAGAATATATCTCCAAAAAATATCTCAGCAGGTTCCTGGATGTCTCAGTATATGCCAACATTATTGGACTGTTTAAATTAGAAGCTGAAACGATGAATTACCTGTCAAGGTTTCAACAATAAAAAATTTTAAAAGCCCATATTTGTTAATAAATTAGATTTATACAATTGATAATTTCAAAATAAATAAAACCTGAGTAGTATATGCCCTCTATTTCCACCCACCCTCAGCATCTATCTGTACCTTTACATCCCATTTTCTTTTAGACCAGTGTTCTCAAGCTTTAGTAAGCATACATATTCCTTGAGGATCTCATTAAGATGTAATTTCTGATTCAGTAAGTCTGTTGTGGGTCCTGAGAGTCTACCTTTCTAACAAGCCACAAATGAAGCTGATGCTATCTTTGAACCACCCTTTGAGCAGCAAGGTGACCCAATATATAAAGTGAGGGAAACCTCTGGCCTAATGACTGTGGTTTTATAGATTCAATGCTGTCATATTTTGTAATCAAACATAAATAACCAACAATGATCACAAAAAATAAGTCTTGGAAGAAAAGAATGTTTTAGTTAAGTGAGAACTTAAAGTATACCAAATTGGCAGTGTTTCTATTTGTCTGACAATTGACACCTTTGATACATTATAATGTAATCAGGACACCAAATTCTGGTAACTTTAAAAAATAGTTACTATAGCTTGAGGCTCTCTCAGTTAATTCAAGTTCAGAAAATTCAAGCCAGTACACTGTAAAACCACTATTAAAAATCTTTAATGGTAAAGTGTTCATATAAATTACTTGTAAACCTGCTCTAAGCTATCCCATCTCCTCCTCCTCTTTCAACAAATAAATGCTGCTTTTTTTTCTTCTGTCTTGTAGCTAAACAGCGTGTAACACCCAGTGCCCCTCCCTTTAAAAATCGAACAAAATTGTCTCCAACCAAAGGACCCAATGCAAAAAGGTTGGCTTCTTTAACACACTCATATGTATATGCATCTATTTCCACAGGATTACCCTTACATGTGATTGGCTGGCTTGAGTTGTGGCCCAGGTAACACCCTTGCTCCTTCAGAAAGGACAGATTGGGATGAGAACCTATCAATACTACTGCTGCAGAGAGCTTAAATATTTTCTTTAATCCAGAGATATTTTGAAGAATGCATTTCATGTCCGACTTAAAGGAAAGCACATGGTGCTCAGGAAAACTGGTATAATCAGATAAAAGATTTGAGTCTAAAGAATATGACTGAGTACACATCATATGATAGACTTTATGGTATTCTGGATAAAGCTTTTTGGGAAGCTGTTTGAAAATTAAGCTTGGATCAGTTACTCGTCTGCGAAATACATGAATCACAGGGACATTATTGTTGTAAGCACACAGTACTGCATCAGCTGCGGTAAGCCCAGAACCTACAATTAACACTGGATCCACTTTGCCACACAACTGTCCTTTGCTTATAGCGGCTCCAAATTCAGGCATTGAATGAAACACAAAAGGAAAATCTTCCCCATCAATTTCCAAACGGCCAGGAGAATCCAATGTTCCAGTTGCCAGAGCTACATTTTCAGCAAAGAGACAGAAGGGAATATGGGAACCATCTCTTATTCGCTGATAACCCCTGATTTCCCAGTTTCTCTTGGTAAATTTTGACTTCTCTATCTGTAAATGCTGTGTTGAAATATCTCTGTCTTGACCATCATTATCAACTTGATCTCTGTAGAGTCTTGATACAGAGGTAATGTAAGTATTCTCTCTGAAATTCTTCTGAAGACCCATGACTTTTACATAATGTTTATAGTAGCGAGCTATTTCCTCTGGCATAACTCGATCCCCTTTTAGGTTCCTATAAAAAGAAAAGGAAAAATATTCTATGAGGATAATACTTTTAGTTTCCATGATTAGCACTTCTCCATCTAGTAAACTATTACATCTTTTTAATTCCTCCGGACTGTCCAAGCTTACCATAACACTTTACAAAGAAAGAAAGCCTTTCCTTTTCTTTAAAAATGTTAATAAATTAGTTTATCAATGGAGGAAGTCCCATGAGGGTAGAGATTGTATTTAATGCATCTTTGTTTCCCCAATGCCTTGTATAAGTATCTGTTCAGATTAGCTGCCTTTATCAATAAACTTTTATTAAATAAATGGATTAAAATGTGGATATCTGAAAATTAGGCTATTTTAGTCTATGTCACAATTGTAATCTAAATAATTCAGTCTATAGCTATACTATTCAGTCTGTATTCTATTTAACTATTGACTGAATTGTTTACAACCATTGAGATATTACAGGTCTGACTGCAATACATATACTTCTCAAACATAATATCTAGACACGATTTTTAATAAGTTGCTTTCTGTTTTCCTAATGACCAAAAATAATTCAGATCAGTCTTTTGCTGAGCAAAATCATATTTAAGTAAGTAACAGTTCTCTCTCTGTGTTTTCCTACTCATAAAGAGATCCATAAATATAAGCTGCTCTTTATGAAAAAAGCACGTTAATACATCTTTTATTTTCCACTTGAAATTTAAAGCAATGGGCGTTAGTATCCTTAAACAATGCCCCAATTAGAAGTAAGTAGAAATAAAAACACCAAATCAGGGAATTCCCTGGTGGTCCAGTGGTAAGGACTCCGTGCTTTCACTGCCGAGGGCCGGGGTTTGATCCCTGGTTGGGGAACTAAGATCCCATAAGCCATGCAGTGGGGCCAAGAAAACCCAGAAAAAAACACCAAATCATTTCACATAATTCAGTGTAACTTGTAACTGGAAGAAGTTCAAAGTTTAATGACTATAATAAGTAAGATTTAGAATGTATTAACTCTCAATTTGTACAGAAACCCTATGTAATAGTTACTATTATTATTATCTTCATTTTGCAAACTAGGAAGTTGATAGCTAGTTTAAGTTATTTGACCAAGGTCATAACATTAGAAGGTACAGAGTCAGGATTTAAACCCTGCCAATCTCTAGAGGTCTAAGAGTCTTAACACTATGCAAGGGCAGGAACTAAAGCTAATATTTATCACAATATTCATTTTCACATATTACTTAAACACACAATATGCTCAATTTAGAAGAATGAACACTCTGGTATGTAAATCATAAAGCTTTCTTTCCCTTTCTTACCCACATCATAAAGGGAAAAATATGTTGAGCAATTTCACTTTCTTACTTATGAAAATCAAGAACTTGTACAATTTGCCTGATTTTGCAACTTAACATTTCAAACCCATATAAAATTCCTTTTTAAAAACCCAAAAGTCATATTTGAAAGGTTTAAATTTACTCTGGTCTAAATTTACTTTCCTTAAATCTTCTTAAATTAAGGATAATTACTGTAGATTAACATGGTTTCTATCTAGCAGAAAGTCAAGCATTCAAACATTACAGCCCTGTTCTAACAAAGGTTGAGTAACTTCCTGCTTTAATTTATTGTTTCTGGCAGCAGTCAAAGTAGAGTAGATTCTGTGTATTAGTAGTTCCTATCTATAGGAATGAAAATGGCTTGAAAATGATAGGGCTTTTCATATTTCTCTTTTTAAATTTTGGGTTCTTTCTCCCAAATAAATACAAAATAAACTTTTATTCTTTCAAGTTGAGATTTTCATATTTTCTTTGTTTTAAAATTAATTTTCATTGAGGTATAGTTGTTTTACAATGTTGTGTTAGAGGATTTTCATATTTTCTATTCTCATATTTTAGTATTCTTATTAAATATTTACCTCTACAGCCAAGTAGGCAATCACATCACGGATTCTATTTTATTCCATCATTCTAAATTATTCATTATATATATTCTGGTTTCTCTTCAGATCATATAAATCTTAAGTTTTTTAAAATTATTCATTATATATACTCTTCTACTCTGAAAAGTCAAATACTTTAGGTATGTATACATGAGATATGCATACACGAAGTTATATATCCATTCATAAAAATAAGTTATATATATCCACTCATAAAAATAAGTAAATAAGGAAAGGATATGTAGGTGGACAAGAAAGTAACAAAACAGAGTGGTTTAACAGGAGAGTGGGATAAAACTATGATTAACAATCTGTAGACAAGCCCTTACTTCTGTGTGCTTAGTTTTATAAAATCTAAATAGAAACTAGCTCATAACCACTGCTGCAAAGAGGTTTTATTTGAAAGACACATGCATCAATATTATTCATCTAAGACAGGATCACAGCTAGTTTGAGATCTGCTGACAGACTCCCATTGTACACCAAAATTTTAATAGTTTGATCTTTACCTTCGTTTGCTAGATACCCAATCTTTAAATTTAAGTCCAGGTAGCTCCATCCAATTTCCAAAGCTGATTGTCAACATCGAGCCTTCCATATTCTATTTGAATAAAAAATGTACTATCAAAAAACACATTTTTTCAGTAACAAGGTGTTTTGTTTTTTTTTTTAACCAAAGCCATCTCATTTACTATAATTAAGTCTGGATAAGCAGAGCTCTAATAAATCCTAAATGGTTGTGTAAATCACCTCTGGAAATTTATTCCAATTAACTTTAAAATATTTTCAACACTTGGTAGTATCTATATTCCTTCTTTCATGTAACTATATATTTATAAATCAGATTTACAATATTACCCAATGCCTATAATCAACATAATTAGATGCAGAATATCGTGTTAGAGGAGCAAATCAGTATTTTCATTTTAAACAAAAGGGGAAAAGGTCATTCATTTCTAACACTTTAAATGTCTTTCCATTTTAATATTATTAACAAATCTTTTTTTTTTTTTTTTGCGGTACGCGGGCCTCTCACTGCTGTGGCCTCTCCCGTTGCGGAGCACAGGCTCTGGACACACAGGCTCAGCGGCCATGGCTCACGGGTTCAGCCGCTCCGTGGCATGTGGGATCCTCCCGGACCGGGGCATGAACCCATGTCCCCTGCATCGGCAGGCAGACTCTCAACCACTGCGTCACCAGGGAAGCCCAACAAATTTTTTTAAATGGGCAGCAAAATGGCTTCCCCCCCCAATCAATTATGATTGTGAAGTCTAAGCTTGTTTCAATACAGCAGGCATCGCTTTCTAAAACTAGGGAAATAAGTAAGTGGTTGCCTGATTAAGAACAGACTCACTGCTGAGGCTAATGCTGCCTTTAAGGAAGTGAGCCCCTTCAAGCTTGCCCTACTTCTACTTTGCTCAGTACAAAGCAAGAAAAGCCCAAGGGCCAAAAGCACCTTTCCCAATGACCTCAACGATCTCTTTCAACCAACTCTTTTTGGCTATGCCTTCTTTTATCTGAACCCTTCTTGCCCTGTTTCTACACAGCCCAGTATTGGGAATGGGACTTGTTATTATTATTATTATTAGCTAACATTTACAGAGCACTTGCTATGTGCTACGGCTTATAAAGTCATATTATTTGTGACAGTACAAGATCACCACAGGAAGAGAATGCAGCAAGTTGCCACTGCTTTGAAGCAGGCTGGGCCTGATACTAGGATTAGAACCAAGTTTCAGGTATATATCGCTTTAGCACTGATTCAAATATGTTTTTAGTAATCAAGGCTTATCCATACTTTAACTTTCCTAAATGTAAGTGGGAGAAATGAAGTAACAGAGATCAAATATTGCCTGCACATTTTTCCAAGCAGAAAATATATATGTACAATAAAACCTCAGGAATTTATAGAAGGTTCTCTAAAAACTTAAACAATATATTATGGCTTTTCCAATAAATGCAGTTTTATTAAGAATGCTACTTATTAACAAAGCAAATATAAACGTAAGCTAAAAGGCACAGATATTTTGATAGTTGCTATCCATTACTATAAAGGTAATTAAGATGAAAAAGTCAGTGATATAATCTATAAAGTCCCCAAATACTCTGAAACAATCGTTTGATAAATGTAAACAACTTTTAGCCATATAACATTGCACTAATATAGGAATATCCAACTGAAGTTTATACTAAAGATTTGATATTTAAAGTTAAAATTCCCATGAAGTCTTTATTTCATAACATAGCAAAAATTATTTAACATTTATTTGTACAAGTGAGCACTCACCACACACTAGACACTGTACTAACTGCTAAGGACACAGGAGTGAAGAATAATTATTAGTTGCTGCCCGCTAATGAAATATGCTGAATCTTTATGTTGATAGTCCTCTGGTTTAACCTCTGCTATGGACTGAATTGTATCTATCACCCCCCAAATCCACATGCTGAAACCCTAACCCCCCAACGTTATGGCACTTGGAGATGGGGCCTTTGGAAGGTAATTAGGGCTAGATGAGGTCATGAGGCTGATGCCCTCATAACAGGATTAGTGGCTTTACAAGAAGAGAGTTCACACTCTCTTTGCTACATAAGGATATGCAAGAAAGCAGCTGTCTGCAAGCCAGAAAAAGAGCCCTCACCATAAACTGAATCATCTGGCACCTTGATCTTGGATTTTCCAGCCTTCAAAGTGTGAATCTGTTGTTTAAGACACTCAGTCTATGGTATTTTATTTTAGCAGCCCAAGCAGACTAATACAAATTTTTTTCTTTTACATTTTTCATTTAAGGTCTTGAAAATGTAGGGAAATAATACATATTAGAATGAAATACTGTGTGAAATTTTGTAAACTCTACAATGAATAAATGAATTAAAAATGTTGTACTATGCAAAACATCTTGAAATATTTTCTGTATAATTCTTAGAGAAACACTTATTCTAAGACACTATCACTAATCAAATTTGGCTTAATTTCTACTAGTAATTAATTCATATTTATCCAAACACATTAAAATTCTCAGATAAAGATGTGGTAATCATCATATATAATATTATATCATAATGTTTAAGAATTAAAATGGTCTTATCAAGATGACATATAATAATTCACATTCACTAAAATGCTAAGGAAAATATACTCACATGCCAAGCTCCACCAGGTGGACCTTTACCAAGAACTAAGTGAGGGATATAATGATGCTGTTCTAATTTCCAATGCAAAATGGATGGATAATCATACCCAAAGTCAGCATCTGGATGAAGAAGTGCGTCGAAAAGTACTGCAACAGGATTGGATGATCGACCCTCAAGGCCCTCAGACAAGTACTCTAAGTCCTGAATTTTTTTTTTTAAAAGAAAGAAAAAAGGCAGATAGAATTTGGAAAAACAAACAAAAAAACTCCAGCTAACATAATAATAGTGAAGACCATTATTGTAATCCAGCATTTCCCATAGAGTGTGCTACAAAACACTGACATTCCTTGAGATCTTAATAGATTCTCTGGTCAAATAAGTATGGGAAAAGGTTGGGTTTCAAAAAGCTAATCAGATCATTTTACTATAAAACTTGAAGATGCCTTTAATATGCTAGTATGCCTTACTATGTCTACCATGACACTCTAATAATAAAAAGCAGCATTTCCCAAACTTACCAGAGCATAGAGCACCTATTAAACTCCATCAGGAAATAATTTGTGAAATTCTGCTCTAATTAATTCAGGAAAATAAATGGAAGCAACTCAGCAGAATATATTTACAATTCTAAAATTAAAATGTTAGGTGTTACTTAGAAGAAAAGGTTTTCAGCTAAGAAATACAATGCTTATATAGTAGAAAACTAACCTTGTCTCAGTATAAATTTAAAAGCATCAACATGTGAAAAATAATACCTGATCAACAATGGAAAGATGTCTCGCTTCTTCTAATTTGCTATGTAAGATTGTGTTTGGATGTATTGCTTCTGATGATAAATATGGTCTGTAGCCTGACAGCATATACGAAAGGCAGATTCCTGAGGGTCCATTTCCTATTAAAAAAAAAAAGGTGGAGAGGGGTGTATCTTGCATCTTAATACTCATGTTCTTTGGCTTTACTGTTTCACAGATGGTTTTTCTCCTTCACCAATTCTTCTTTCTCTAAACTCTCAAAGCCAAGTATTTACAAGAGAAGATTTTTGTCTTCTCTCCTATTTTCTTTTGGGAGTCTCACCTACTCAAAGCTTCAACTCTCTATGCTACTAACCCTCAAAATTAGATATCTAGGCTGACCTCTTACCCCAAAAATATATCCCAAATTTCCATATGCCACTTCTTCACCTCACTGAACCACTAATAACTTAATCACAATGTGTTCAAAAGCAAATTCATGAGTTCTTCCATTTTGGTGGCCTCTCCTTTAAACCTCATTCCTTTGCTGGTATGATACTTACCAGGAAAATCCTAAGTTAATCAGGTTCTGGTTTAAATGTATTTTGTCACGTATATCCATTCAGTTGTCTTTGTTATTCTCACTATATATTCTCACTCAGAAGACAAAAATCTCTTCTTGTTTCTCTTCAAGATTCACCTACTTCAAATCATTTCACATTCTACATTCAAATGAGTTCTCATAACAGAGTTCTCATTATGTTACCCGTGCTATGTTACCCACTCTACCCAAAGCCCTTCATTGCTTGTTTCTTCTATCCAGTGTTCTCCATGTTCTGGTCTCAACCATCTTTCAAGTCCCACCTCCTAATAATTTCCCTCCTGTATTTCTATATCCTTTACCCCAAACCAAACTGGATTTTTTGTTGTTGTTGAACTCCAACAACTACTTTGATTTCTGTAGTTCTTTTAGTCTGGGTTGCCACTTCTCTATTATATCCATCTACCAAAAATTTAATCTATCTGGGACAACTGTAAGCCATCAGAAAAATATCCTGTTCCTTATCTAATATTTTGCCCCAAATAAAATAAGCTCAAAGATATAAACATGAAAAGTAACATCATAATATTAGGAAAGAGGTTACTATTTCTACTTATAATGCTGTAGCAAGAAGCCTTTAAGTACAACACAAAACTCAAAAGACAGAAAGGAAAATAAACCATTTGACTTCATAAAATTTTTTTTTTAAATGGCAAATACTGGGAGTTAAGATCTGAGGTAAAGAGCTAATTTCCTTGAATCAAAAAGAAAGAGACAAAACTAAAGAAAAGTCATAATACCAACAGAAATAGAAAAAAACATTTGAGAAAATCCAACACTTATTCATGTAAAAACTCTCAACAAACAACAGAGGGGAAATTCCTTAACTTGACAAAGAGTATCTACAAAAATCCTACAGCTAACATCATAATTAATGGTGAGAATTAGGGGGGTCTTCCCTCTAAGATCAAGAAAAGGATGTCTCTTCTCACCATTCCTACTCATCACACACCTTAATGGAAATCCTAGCTAATGCACTAAGACCAGAAAAGGAAATTAAAGGTATACAGATTGGGAAAGAAGAAACAAAACTGTCTTTGTTTGTAAATTCCATGATTATCTATGTCAAAAGTCCCAAAGAATTGACCAAAAAAACTCCTGGAAGTAACAAGCAATTATGTTGCATGAAAAAGGTTAATATATACAAGTCAATTGCTTTCCTACAGACCAGTAATGAACAAGTGGAATGTGAAATTAAATACACAACCCCACTTATATTTGCAAGAAATACCTGGGTATAAATCTAACAAAATTCATATAAGATCTAAATGAGAAAAACCACAAAACTCTAATGAAAGAGCTCAAAGAATATCTAACTGATGGAAAGCTATTCCATGTTCATGGATAGAATGATTCAATATTGTTAAGATATCAGTTCTTCCCAACTTGATCTACAGATCTGATGCAATCAAAATAAAAATCCCAGCAAGTTACTTTGTGGATATTGGCAAACTGATTCTAAAGTTTAAATGGAAAGGCAAAAGACCCAGAACTGCCAATATAATATTGAAGAACAAAGTTAGGGCTAATACCATCCAACTTCATCTTACTGTAAAACTACAGTCAACAAGACAGTGTGGAAATGAAAGAATATATAAATGAATGGAACAGAATAGACAGCCAAGAGATAGATCCTCACAAATACAGTCAACTTATTTTTGACAAAAGAGCGAAGGCAATGCAATGGAGAAAGGGTAATCTTTTCAACAAATGGTACTAGAACAACTGGACATCCACATGTAAAAAATGTGAATCTAGATACTAACTTTATATCTTTACAAAAATGAATTAAAACAGATTATAGACCTAAATATAAAACATAAAATTATAAAACATCTAGAAAATAACTATGAGAAAATCTAGGTGACGTTGGGTTTGGTAATGAGTTTTTAGACATACCACCAAAAGCAAGATCTATGAAAGAAAAAAATTGATATGCAGGACTTCTTAAAATTTATGCTCTGCCAAGTCACTGTTAAGAGAATGAAAAGGCAAGTCACAGACTAGGAGCAAATATCTGCAAAACATGTATTTGATAAAGTACTTGTTTCTAACATATACAAAGAACTCTTAAATCTCAACCATTAAACCACCAACACAATCAATTAAAAAGTAGGGAAAAGCTCTATACCTCAAGGTATAGAGATGGAATATAAGCATATGAGAAATTACTCAACATTGTATATCATTACAGAACTGCAAATTAAAACGAGATACTACACACCTATCAGAATGGCTAAACCCCAAAACACAGACAGTATCAAATGTTTCCAAGGATGTGGAACAACAGGAACTCTCATTCATAGTTGCTGGGAATGCAAAATGATACAGTCACTTTGGAAGACAATTTGACAGTTTCTTAAAAAGCTAAACATAGTCTTACCGTATGACCCAGCAATCACACTCCTAGGTGGGTTGAAAACTTAATGGCCATGCAAAAATCTGCACATAAATGTTTGCAGCACTTTACTCATAAATGTCAAACACTGGAAGCAACCAAGATGTGCTTCAATAAGCGAATGGGTAAACTGAAACATCCATACAATGCAATAGTATCCAGTGATAAAAAGAAATGAGTATCAAGCCATGAAAAGACAGAGAGAGGGATCTTAAATGCATATTGCTAAGTCAAATAAGCCAGTCTGAAAAGCCTGCATACAGTGATTCCATATATATGACATTCTGGAAAAGGCAAAACTATAGAGATAGTAAAAGATCAGTGGTTACCAAGGTTTGATAGTTGAAGGAAAGGATAAATGGGTGGAACACAGGAGGTTTTTAGGGCAGTGAAACTATTTTATATGATGTTATAATACATGACATTATACACCCAGCAAAACCCATAGAACTGTACAACCCAAAGAGTGAACCCTAATGTGCACTATAGATTTTAGTTAATAATAATGTATAAAAACAGTGGTTCATCAATTGTGACAAATGTACCACACCAAAGCAAGATGTTAATAAAAGGTATAAAAGGGGGTTGGGAGAGTATTTACAGAAATATTCTCTGTAATTTGTTTCATTTTCCTATAGACTTAAACTGCTCTAAATAAAGCCTATTAAAATAAATACTGACTATACAAAAAATAGTGGGAGTTAATATCTCAAAGAATCAAAAAGAAATAACACTCAAAAGACAATACAAAAAGAATACAAATAAACAGTTCATAGAGAAATATATACACAGGCAGAATGTGCCCCAACTCCCAAAGATTTCCCATTCCTAACCCCAAGAACCTGAGCGTGTTACCTTACAGAGAAAAACGACTTTGTAGATGTGATTAAATTAAGGACCGTGAGCTAGAGAGAGTAGCCTGGATTATCCAGGTGGGCCCAATCTAATCACACAAGTCCTTGAAAACAGAGACCCTTTCCCACCTGTGGTAAGGAGGAACCATAACTATGAAAGGTTAAAAGAGAAACAACACTGCTGGCTTTGAAGATGCAGAAGGGGTCCAGGAGCCAAGGAATACTAGCCTCTAGAAACTGGGAAAGCAAGGAAACATTCTATCTACCCTAGAGCCTCCAAAAGGAATGCAGCCCTGCTGATACCTTGATTTTAGCCCAGTGAGACCACTGTTGGACTTCTGTTCTATAGAACAGTTAAATACATTTATGTTGTTAAAGCCACCAGGTTTGCGGTAATGTGTTATGACAGCAACAGAAAACCAATTACATACATTAAGGAAATTAGCCCTTTATTATGATCATCTGGCAGTGCTACTGCCAGCAATAATAGCCCTATATACATGAGGTTAAGCTACGCTTTGGCTAGCTGAGGCAAAATAGGAACAGATTGTTTTGGGGGAAGTAAGGTGCAGATGAAAGTAGTTTTTCCTTTTCTGACCCTGCCATAGCCCAACTAGAACAAGAAGACATAGGTTCCTTTGCCTATGGCAAGACATCCAGGATGGAAAACCAGGGTTGGATATAAGTGGGAAATGAACGTGAGATTTAGTTTCCAAGATATCTTGGATGAGAAATACTGCAAACACTGTCAGCTCCCCTAGAGGGGAATCTAGTGTAGAACTATCTTGCTTTCCTTCCTTCCTTCCTTTACTGAATCTCCTATGGAGAGATGTCAATATGCCAGACAGAGCACAGGACTTTCCTCTCCATTAACTTGAAACAAGTCAAAGAAACTAAGGAAGTTGTATGCCATCAAGGTACATTATGTCCCATAATTCCTTCCTTTGGCTTGGTTTCACACTATAGTACTTGTCCAACTTCATGAGTTTGAATATTAAAGATACATATGACAGGTAATTAAATACATGCAATAAAACAAAATAATAAAATTTTATAATTTTGAATTAGGTTTTATTAATAACAATTTTTAATCTTATATACCTATCTATTGAGGTGGTACAATAGAAATATAATAGTAACATATGGTTAAAATATTATAAACCTAACTGTAGAGTACTATAATGTTCTTTACTAACTGAGCACTGACTACTAACTTGCACAGGTTACTCAACTACTGAGTTTCCCTGTCTGTCCATACCCTACAACCTCAGAGGGCTATAGGGTTTTAAGGCATAATCCAATAATGTA